AGAGCAAGGGAAAGAGGACACAAGAGGGCAGCAGAGGACAACATAAACAAATCTTTTCTAAATTTCCTCTTTAACTTGCAGCGTCTCATCTCTTCCTTTCTTTTAGAAATTCTGCATTTCTATTGGCGGGAATCTGGCCTCGATCCACAGCATAGAAGAAAACAACTTCGTCAGTGAGCTCGTGCACAGAGTGACCGGCGGTAGTCGTGACACCTGGATTGGAGGCTACGATGCAGTCACTGTAAGTCCTGCAAACACAGTGTTGTTCTTGCAGTGTTCTATTGTGCCTTTAATCTATCTGATGATCTCTGTCGTCAGGAGAACACGTGGCTGTGGAGCGACGGGTCAAGCCTAGAGTTTGTAAACTGGTATCAGGACCAGCCAGACAATGGTCACAGTTCAAGAAATCAGCACTGCATGGAAATCAACTATGCAGGTAAATAAATATTTACTGGACTTTTAATTTTTTATTGTTTTGACAAAAAAAAAAACTAATTTTCTTTTGCCTCTGATACATATAACAAGAAATTTTATACAAAATGCAAAAGATCCGCCCAGCCCAGCAGTCTGTGGGGGATGTGGGGTTCACTCTGGACAGGTCGCCGCCAGTCGAAGGCAGAAAAGTGTTTCATTTCTATATTTTTTGTCTCCAACAGGAGAGTACTGGAATGACATGCCATGCAGCACAAGGATGCCTTGTGTTTGTTCCATGAACCTCTGAAGCATCTGTTGCAACGAATCACTTCAGATCCACACAGAGCAGCTGGAGGCTTTTAATTTGATTATTTTCTTGGATTTTATTCATCAATTAATTGAAGTAGATCACTTTTTCTTGATTATTTAAAACGGTGATATATACTATCTATTGTTTTGATTTTCTATGGATAATTTAAGTAATTAAATAAAAAAGAACTAGAAACATCATTATGTTTATCTCAATCTAAAACTGTGATACTTTAAAAATCCATTGTTAAAATAAACCCTTGACTGATCATGATTCGTTGGTTTGTTGTTGCTCCAAAAATTAAACAAGACGTGTGATACATCTATATCTTGTATATCTATTGATTCATACAATAGGAGGGATATTTCTGGCCAGAAATCAGCAGATTGAAGACCAAGTAAGGACTCAGAGAGCAGATTCTTTGCTAGTTACACCTGAATTATATCTATATAAGAGGAGATGAGGAATACTGGAAAAAAATAATGCACAAAAACAAAATCTGAATTGTTAATTTTCATAATTCTGAAAATAATCACTTTTTTTTTTACATTAAAGCTATTGGTAATGTTGAAGATCTAGCAAGATGTGAAAGTTTTAAAGGACAGGACCATTGTATTCTATGCAGTTTAAGGTATCCAGTAATTCATTAAGAGTCCAAGAAAGCTGGATGCTCCGTAATAATATCATCTTAAATTCATGAAAATAGTTAATTTAAAGGTATTATGAAGGATTTTCACGATTTTTTTTAAAAGATCCACCCTCTCCACTTTTCGCACTGCAAAAACCATCTAAAAATAAGGAAAACTTTCTTAAATTAAGAGTATTTACTATTAATTTGAGTAGGGTAATAAGATAATTTGCAAATATAATGGGTATTTTAGTCTTAAAGTAAGAGGATTAGATAATATGCACTTGAAATAAGACAATGCAGTTGTTTTTTCTTATTTTAAATTTAAATTACCTCGTTCCATTGGCAAAGTGTCTCAATTACCTCCTCAATTCAAGAAAAAATGCACTTATTGGAAGAAAAAAAATGACTTATTTAGATTAACATTTTTTGCAGTATGGACAGATGATCACTTCCCTGTTGGTCATGTTACTCCTCCTCCACTGCGTGGTGCCTGTGATATCTTTGTTATTAATCGCACACTTCGAAGACACTTTGTCTATTATGACCTTCGGCCATTTTCAAAGAACCTTGGTGAGTAAGGTGAGCTTCAATGACTGTATGAAACCACGGATATACGCCTGAAAGTGCGCACTCGCAGAAAAAGATAGCTAAGGGGACGAGCTGGTTGACAGTCGTCTTTTGTATCTCCGCTTCTGTCTCCTTGAACCCCAGTCGGCCTCAGCAGATGGCCGCTCACACTGAGCCTGGTTCTGCTGGAGGTTTCTTTCTGTTAAAAGGGAGTT